TGAGAGAAATAGAGCAAGGGTGTGTGACTGTAGCCTTCTGAGTTGACAAAATCGCAAACGAACAGTCCTGAAGCATAAATGTGTGAGAAACAAAAAGCCACTAACAGCGATGATGGAACAACAGGAAAAACATAATTATAAACCAAAACAATAACTCAGAGCTGTTGTCAGGTACTGATGGTTAATGGGAAGCGATTTCAAATACTATTTCGTAAGAAACTCATACTCATAAAGTACAATGAAAAGACTGTAAAGGATTTACAATCACAGATCTCTGATGCACAGCATAACAGACCGAATTCATACCGCACAGAATAGAAAACAATTGAAGAACAAGCGAGTAATACCATAAACATAAAGAACTTATGAAAAACAAGTAGATCTCATCTATTCATTCAACTTGAATAATTCAAGTTGAATTATTCAAATTAAAGCAGCCCACATCGGGTTACATGTCGTTTCCAGCTACAGGAGAACTGTGTCATTTCTCAATTCAGGAGGCTGGAAGTAAGGATGTAACACTATTCTGAGTGTCGGAAAAGGAACTCACGGATGTGTTTTGTCTTCGTTCTGTTCTTCTTTTAGTATATCAAAGCAAGGTGAAAACCTTCAAGCAAACCTTCCAAGACATTCGACTATCGGACTTGATGTGTCGAGATAGGCAACTTCAAACTCTGCTCTTCTACTACTACAGATCGAAGTTTATTTTTAAAGTTGACAGAGACATTGAGAACAAAGGTCACGAAACACCGCCACACAGCTATCACTTGACTACTCAACATTTTTTCGAATGAGGAGTTCGCACATCTGCAGTTTCCGGTCTTTGTCCATGTCCTGATAGAGCTCAGTTTGAAAGATCTTCATCAGCCAGTCAGAAGATTTGAAACGGATTGTTTCCCTGACCCAATAATTCTATGAATTCAATTCATACAGTATAACGTCTAGTGAGTGCACCTACCTTCGAGTGTCTAATGTATCTCCAAAACAGAAGGAAGATTTCTATTGGTATTTCCAGGGCTGTATATCTGAACACCACCAGTGATTCCATGTAGTGTTGACACAATTGAACGACATGTTTCACTTCGAACTTCCGTCCCCAATGAAGCAACTGTCGCAAGTTATGATCTGGAAGCATGAAGAGTAACTTCGAACCACAACGAACATCATACCATCTACTGGCTCACAAGGTAGGTAGAGGTAATGAAGAAGTTCTCGAAGATCCTCGACTGGAATTGAATCCTTCAAAGAGATTTCACAAGACCCTTGGCTGCAATGAAAAGGTTGGAACAGTCAACTTGAAGACTCTCACCTTCCTTTGATCATATCTCTGAAAATCGTCGAGTTTTGAGATAGAATCTGACATTCAAAAATACTAACGACGAGCAGCAACTCTCATACCTGACTGTGGCAGTGAAGCTTCTCACCATCGACATTCAAAACCAAATCTTCGTCTGCATCTGTACTATCGAAGTTTTTCACTTGGAATTTACTAAGACAATAAAGATAATTGGAAGTACTCAAGCAAACTAACTGAATCCCTTTCCACCTGATGTTGGTGATCTCTACTTTCAACGACACATCGTTATTCTTAACAACGTAGTTATTCATCTTCACGGCAAATTCCGCGCTTGTAACAGCATCTCTTTTCGTTTCAACATCTCTTTTCATCTGAAAAGCAACAACGGTTCCATGAGAAAGTTCTCACATACATACAGTACGTTGGTCATATTGGTGAACATAGGTATTTGAAACCCAGACATTGAAAGTTACAGTCCAGGGAACTAAGAGGCAGGCTATGTCTCCAATCGGTTTGCTACTTATCACAATCTCGGCTTCATTGTTCTTTGTAGTGAGTTGCACAGTCCTGAATACAGAAAATGAAATAATGAAAGGAAAACTTACCATTCGATATTATTTTGTTCCTGTTTTATAGATTGATATACATCATTACAGCAAAAGGAGGAACTGGCAGACACATAAAACATGAAGCTCATGATTCTTTTTTCTGAGGGACGGAGCGACCATGCCATTTTACAATCTGTACAATGCCAAGGAGTAATGAAGAATGGATCATAATCGATATAGAATCAAAAAAAACAAAGAAATAGACCACTAATACACTCGTTACTTAGTTAACCATCTCCTCAGCAGCATGACAACTCCCCTTATCTCCTTATCATATCATGTACAAAGGAAAAATCTGACTCATTATGCTTAGAAATGACCAGCTCTTGCAGAGTTCTGGTCCGAAGTACTTCAAAAGGAAACACATTCTGAGACGAAGCTAAAAGTAAGGCTTTTCATTAGTTTCGTCAGAATTCCAACCTGTTACCCGAGAGGGAACAACCGGGTCATTTTATTCACACGAAATGTTTCTCACGTGACACGTAGTTCACAGAGTTTTACGTAGGTATATAAGCTATGAAACACCTGAAATGAGTTATTTGGTGATAACAAGTGAGTGCGTGAGCCCACCTTCAACCTTATACCGGGTCACTTTTTCTTCACTCAAATCGGTTTCGACGTATTTCGTAATTCCGGTTTTCACGTGAGTATCCAAGTGGTTAACGATCTGAAACGAATTACCTGGGAGTGTTAGCAGGTGAGCTCTATTTCTCTCTTGCTTTATAATCACTAAGACGAGTGTATAAATCTAATTGAATACCGAGCAATAGAAAGGATCACATCCAGGTTGCAACATATTACACCATATGCTAGTATCCCATACTAGGCCGCTCAGATATGTTGCATTCTGTAAAGATCTTCTCAAAAACGGTGCAATGGAGGAAAACATTTACCGAAAGAACTTAGAAACACTTCCACGATGTTCCACTATACTCCAAAAATTCAAGCTACGCTCACACGACTAAGATAAATTATATTAATAACAAACCTCTGCTCTAGGACTGGAGAATTGAGGTAGAAGTTGATGAAGATGACATGTTTGGGGTTCATGACTAGGTGGCTCACCAACGGTAGAAGTTTAAGCCGTTGAACGTCCCCCATCACCTCAAAAACATAACTTTTTTTTATTTATTTAGAGCCTCTACGATGAAGATTGTGGAGGAACAAGAAGTTTGAAGACTTCTGGATGTAAAGAGTGTACGGGTAAAGATGTCTTTAACAGAGCAATACAAAAACTTTTAAAAGTTTAGAAAAGTAATTGATTAAACAACATAATCAGAAGCATAACAAATATTCAAGTGTAAAATCAAATTCTGATCTGAAACAGCCCAAGAAACATTCGATAATTCATTTGATTCAGTTTCAGAGAAGTTATAGCATTTTCCCAAAAAAGAACAACCGAGTGATTTTTTTTCACGGAAAATTAATTCCACGTGACGCGTTTCCGCAGGGGTATATAAGCGGTGGAGCTCCTGAATCATGTCAGTTGGCAGTGTGAGTCGGTGAGCTTCATTCCTCTCTCTCTGGAGAGTCTCCAGAGGGGAGGCAAAAGCTCATTGACTCGCAAGCCAGGGATAAGACCTGGATAAGTTCAGGTCTTATCTGAAACGCACCGAAAGGTTGCATTCCAATCCCAACCGCTCAGAACGGTTGCATTCCACCGAAACTGTTACATTTCAATTCCGTTCATTTGAAATAACAACTTCAGTACAGATGATGTTAAAAATATTGTTATAGAATGAAATCATATTGCAAGAGATACATGACAATGATATTGGTTTTTCCAACTGCTGTAATGAAAAGTTTCAGTCGCTTATTAGATATGGCATTCTATTCTCAAAATATTCAATACAAAATACAAGAGGCTTTTGGGATCGAAGCAGAGAGAAAAACTTGATGAAAAGACAAGAACTTCATAATAATCATAAAACATTCAGAAAACACATCAGATTCAGAGAAGGAGAAGACGGGGGATTCGAGCAGTTAGCATTAGAGCACAATTTTTAGTTTAGTCCAGTTTTACACCCTTGGTAAGTTAGACTATTTTGTTTTGCTCCTTTCGCTCTGATTAGGGCTGGGAGGTGAATTTGATTTTTCGATCTTCAGGTAGAAAAGCATTCGAAAATTACATGTTTGCAAATGAAACCTGTAATTTTGATCGCATAATCTCATAAATGGTGACACCTAACACCAACCGTTTTTGATGAAAAGAAAAATTTCGAAGACAAGTGGTGGAAGCTGTATCAGCTGTAGACGTTTTGTAAGGAATATTCGGAATGAATGCTCGAAGTCTGATTAGCTCAGACATTTGTTCGCTCAAGCTCAATTGCACTCAAAGTATCCTTTTCAGCATCTCTACCAGCATATGTCTTGATAGCATTCCGTATATCGCTTTCAGCTAATCAGTACCTTCTCTCTCTCTTTCTCTATATCTCACTTCTCAGTAACCCTTCATCAAGTTTGCAAAAGAAATGCTGGAAATACATTATAATATTAATACATCAAACAGCAATTATAGAATGATAATCATTTTTCAAGAATAGGAACCCTCTGATCTCACACATATGGTTAGAAGCGGACAACTGGCCATTGTCCGTTGGTAGAAGTTGAAAGACCGTTAATACAATTTTTAAGCCCGTAATTAGAGTTGATCAAAGGAATATTAATTCTCACTATCTCATTTGGACACTATTTTGGAAACTCTACTCATTCATGAGAATCGAAAGAAACATTCCGAGAAAAAAGCTTCTGATCGGCGGTATGCAATATCAAGTTGTGTTTTCAGTTCTTCATCCACCTTGTTTACGAAGGAACACCCTCGCACTTGCTCATTCCATCTTTCAAGAAAAGCTGGCTCATTCCTCTACTTGCCAATTCCTTTTCCCATCTGATAGACGTGTTTCTAGTAAATCTCTTTTCGTTTGTTGAAGTCTTGATAGAGTTTTAGATGACAGTGATAGTGGCTTTCCAATGAACGTCAAGACTTTCAGAGAGAATGGAGAAAGAACAGCAGTTGAAAGAGATCTCTAACTTCATATTATCATTCGGCCTTATAATGCCTAGAGTATTCGCCGTCATCTCTATCACCACAACTTCTGTAGGAATATTTTTGATTGTCGCAAAGTCTCCGAAGAGTATGGCAACTTATAAGTATGTTCTTCTCATGATGATGGTACGTCTGTCTGGAATGAAACCAGTCATATAATAAGTGTTTCAGTTGGTTTCGTTTCAATTCGATATGGTGTTGAGTGTCCTAGCCGGACCGATACCTTTACCTGGAGCAAATGGGTTACAGTTTATTGGTTTCTTAGCAGAGATGTTTCCTTCCGAAGGGAATGTGCTAGTGGTACTTCGAGACTTACGCATAATATCTCATTGTTTCTGATTTTTCCAGTTTCTAATGATTCTCACCTTCTATATGGAAGTAACAGCAATCCTATTAGGCTTCCTATACCGCGAATACATTCTGCTTCGAATTCATGAGAAGCCCCGAGACAACATAAGAAGATTCCTGAATACAGCTCCTGTACTGATCTATAGTTATGTTTTAACTCCATTCTTATTCCGAGGTATAATAACGGCTGAGAATGAGACACGCGACTATCTCACAAACCAGGTTTCTCAACAGCTTTGTTTTTTGAAATTCCTAATTGATACGTTTGCTCCAGCTCAAACAAAAGCTGTTCGTGGGTGCTGCTGTCTGGCTTTTTCATCCCACCAAGATGCCTGCCATGAGTCTGATGAGTGGAACGGCGTTGATCATGTTGGTTATACTTTTTTTCCATATAAAAGGTTCTATAAAGAAGGTTAGTTTGAATAGAAAGCTTCTGAACACGAATTGGACTAATCACTGATTACAGATCAACCGCTTCTTATTAGAGAACTCCGTAACTCTTAGTGACCGTTCGGTTCGTTTGCAGAGAATGTTGCTACGAGCCCTGATCTTCCAGGTAAACACAGAGTTAGATTCTCAGAATATCCGTATTCAGTCAGCAATACCATTCATGTTCTTGATGATCCCCTGTATCATTCTCTACTCTATGGTGTTTATAATCCCGTTGTTTCTGACAGTCTGTGAGTTCAAACAACAATCTACTTCCATATTCAAACACTCCAATACATCTGGAGAACAGAATAAAGAGAAAAAATTCTTAAAACTCTCTGATGTTTTCAATAATTCATAATTATAGCTAACGATTTCGCACAGCATATCACGGCCGTTGTTTATTCTACACCAGCTCTCTACTCTCCAGCTCGTGTCTCCTGTATGATTTACTTTACAACACCTTATAAGGAGTACATTGTTAAACTGTTACGACTCAAGCCTAAAGCTACTCTTATCATACCTGTAACTGAAGTCATAGTGCATTCTGTTGACTCGAAGTCCTAGGCGATTAGTTTGGGCTCATTGAATAGTGATTCTTATGTATTGTTCTAGTTTGAGACGTCGATAGTTGTTTTATTTTCATATTCTTGTTGACATACCGCTTCTTTCACCCATCTTTCACGTCAAGTTGGCATGTAACTCTTATTGAATGAAGTCTTCAATCATTCATGCCACAAGCTCAATTTATCTAGAAGGGTTCAACTTTTCAGAATATGGAGACAAATAAAGAATTAAAAGAGATCTCCACCTTCATATTGTCTTTCGGCCTCGTAATGCCTAGGGTATTCGCTGTCATCTCTATCACCACAACTTCTGTAGGAATATTTTTGATTGTGGCGAAGTCTCCGAAAAACATGGCCAACTATAAGTATGTTCTCTTCATGATGATGGTGAGCATGTCCGGACGGAATACGACCACAGAAAAATTGTTTCAGTTGGTTTCGTTCCAGTTTGATATGGTGTTAAGTGTTCTTGCTGGACCTATTCCTTTACCTGGCGCTGATGGTCTTTTGTTCATAGGGATCTTAGCAAAGCTTTGTCCATCCCATGGAAACCTGCTAGTCGTAAGTTCTCTTCATTCTCTATTCTAACGAAATCTTTTCAGTTTGTGATTGTCATCACTTTTTATTTAGAAATATTAGTAATATTCCTGGGATTTCTTTATCGTGAATATGTTTTGCTGCGATCAACTCAGAAGACGTGGGACAATGTGAAGCGCTTCTTCCCTGTATTACCTTTCACCATATTTGGATATGTCATCACACCTGCGATATTTTTTCAGCTCATAACATCTGATATTGAATCACGTGATTACATGATCAAAGAGGTCTCTCTTAATACATTAACGGGTGATTTTATCTGGCTTACTTACAGCTCAAACAAAGTATTATAACAGGAGCTGCCATCTTTCTCGTTCATCCAAAGCGTAACCACTTGATGCTTATTCTAAGCTCTTTGGCTCTTATAATGGTATTCACAGTCGGGTTTTTCATTCAAAAATCAATCAGGAACGTGAGTAGCTCGCATGTGAGCAGCTTGGATCATTAAGAAAAGCTCTTTCCAGATCAACAATTATCTCACGGAAAATTCACTTGGAATGAGTAGTCGATCGGTTCATCTCCAAAAAATGCTTCTGCGAGCATTGATCTTTCAAGTAAGTCACGTTGAGGTTTTCGAAGAAACGCACCTGAAACCAGACTGTTATTCCGTTCATGTTTCTCATCTTCCCATGCATAATCCTATATGCTGTAGTCTGTATTGCTCCATTGATTACCACAGTCTGTGAGTTTGAAAACCTTTACTATTCATGGATTCTGTTTTGTTGAACACAAACAACATTTTGTTTTCTCAATAGTAACCCACGTGGCAAGACCATTGCTCAGAAAAGGGTCCCGAAACTATATTTGGAAAGTGCTATTTGATATACTTCAAAACGTTCCAAATCATAATATGTACTCACAACTGAGTTCAAAGAGAACTCTGATGAGGGTGTCAAGCATAACTCAAATGAAAACTAGCTGGTTTAAATATCTCATGCTCTATCAATTATTCATAATTACAGCCAATGATTTCGGGCAACAAATGACAGCCGTTGTTTTCACAACACCAGCCTTCTACTCTCCAGCTCGTGTCTCCTGTATGATTTACTTTACAACACCTTATAAGGAGTACATCATGAAACTGTTACGTCTCAAGTCTCAGACAGTTTCAGTCATACCAGCCACATCAATAATTACCCCATCTATAGATTATAAATAGATTTAATTTTCTTTGATAGGTTCTTACTTTGATTGCTAACATTGATCTCATATCAAGCATCTTTCACGTTCCGATTAGCATATGACTCACGTGAACAACGTGTAGCCTTCCAATATCATTTTCCTGCTCATTGAGATAGAAAACGGTTGCTTTCACTTTCAATCCTGTATCATAGGTGTATGCTTAATAAATGATTGTTTGTCAATATATCTATACGAACAAGTTGTTTAACAGAAATAGAAAAAGTTAATGAGAGCAGAGGTTTGTTTTAAGCAAATAAGGAAATATCTCGTGTGTCTCCCTTTCTCTCTCTCTCTCTCCCTCTCTCTCTCTGCTCTGCTTTTCACATAAAAACGATGAGAGCAGAATGATGTGAGAGAGGTGTTATAAGATATTCTTATCTCCAAAAAAGAAATCAATAATCGTTTGATGACTTCTTTAATCATTTCTAATCATTTTGAACTTCTTATTTGACTTCTTCTTTTTTTTATTCTTGTAGAAGCAGCTTAAGAAGATGATCTTATATGGTGTAATCCTATTACTACTGTGTAAGGTCTCACTGATATTCTCTCAGGCCAAAGATACACTCAGACGGATTCCTGACTGTATACGTGAGTTTCATTATCAAGTTCTAGTTTTCAAAAAAACTTTTCAGCAACTTGCTATCATCATAATTCATATGTTCTACCATTCTTCTCTAAGATGTCATCAGATGATGACGTATTGAAGTTCAAATACATGCTTCTCAATGAAATCGAGCAGTGTTCGAATGGAGAAAAGCGATTTGCTTTATCCATTTATCTCCCTCCATCACAAGCATGGCTTCGATGTTGTGGAGTTGAACATTGTTTCAAAACCGTTATGCAAATTCAACTGAGAACTATAAAAACCAATTTTACTCTGAAGGGTGAGGAATTAGTCATTGATGTGTTAATACTTCCTTCCTCTTCTAGAGTATGTTGATGATGCTGATCAAGCTCACGTCTATGATGTATGTATAGACACAATGGAAGAAGCGTCATACCTTCCGTCCTCATCTGTCCGTTTATACATGGATTACTTTGTAACAGACTTTGAAAATTCAACATATGATTTTTCTCGCAATTTCTTTTTGACTACCGTATCCATACCAGCAACATCCGAAGGTTTAGTTCCGAGTTCAATCGCCTCATCGCCAACAAACAAATTTAGCAAGGTTGGACACCCTTTATCCGAACATAACTGTGACATCTCTGGCTGAATACTCTGATTTGATTGAACAACCGCAAAATGAAATTTGCAGCGGAGAAACCCTGAACTTCTGTCCGCCGAACGACCCAACTCGTGAATCATTCAAAGTTGAATACGAGAAATGTTTTCGTTTCAGGACAACCTGATGATGAGAAAACAGTCAACTTACGTGTTTTTTTGGGATTCGGAAGTTTGAATGAAGAACACTTTCGAATGATTCTGAGAGGAATTTACAATTTGTTATCGGAACCATTAATGAGCCAAAACACTGGTAAGGTAAGGGAGTCTCTCGATTTGCTCTTTTCTCTCTGATATTCTCGATAAGAAAGACAGTTAACAGGGAGAATTGAGTGAGGGTTTGTTAGAAACAAAAGGAAAGAAGGAGACCGAAAACGATATTCATTTCAGATCATCATAAGCGGTCCTAAGGGCATCCTACTTGGTGTTTGTTATTGGTACGATATGACCAGCTGTGTTCTACAGCTCTCATCTCATAACAAAGAAGATATTTTTGTAATAGAAACATTCTTAATGAAATCATGGTTGTTATTGAAGGTTCCCACAAAAGCTGTCAGTCAAGATGATTTAGAATTTTCACCTGAGATTCTGAATTACATGAGAAATGAAGCTCTGAAAAAGAGCTCTTCGACGACAGTAAGCCGAGAGATGAGAAGGAATCAGATTTGACTATCTTTCAGACTTTCGTCCTGATTGTCTCCGATTTCATCTCAATTGAGTTCTTAGAGAATGATTTCTTCTTCAAACGGGCAATGAAGAAACAACAACTTGGGTTATCAATGGCTTTAGTGCTGGATTGGAACGGATTGGATAAAAACACCATTGACAAGTATTTTCATGTTTTCATACCATCAGACTAATTTTCTCTCTTCTTTGGGTATTATGCAAATGTAACAAATGATATCATTACCTTGCATGTACTTGATGATCTTCAAACAATTCGACAGCGAATTGTTGCTGTCAGTCGTCGAAATAGTCAGTTTATCTATCATTTTTCTAATTTCACACCTAGCATGTGATCGCTCAAACTTATCAAGTTTGACACCCCTCAGGCTACGAACATAATGAGTGAATTTTGATTTTTCTTTTTTTAGCTGCGCCCACCCCTAGTACTAATGTCACTCTTTCTACAACAACAATTGCAACGTCATCAACAGAACATTCCACTGGATTTACAACGCCATCGACAATTCCCACAACTGATCCGAGCTTAGAAACAACTTTTTCGAGAAGCTCCACTGAACCACCTAAGACTTCAACGTCAACGACTAACGAAGCTTCGACAGCTACTAAAGAAACAACTACCACTACATCTTCAATAACAAGTGCAATCAACAGCACTTCCTCAAGCACATGTATAAGACCTATTTTTGATCTTCACCATCATTATTTTCAGCACCCCTCACTAACTCTGGTAATAATATCATCATTGCTCTATCTCTGGGACCCTCTATGTCCGAAAACGATTTATCAAACTTAAAAACGTACTTGAAACAAACAGCAGCCGAATGTGCAAACGATGAGCGTCAAGTAGCCATTCAATTGAACAACCAAAATAGGACTGTCTTCTGCTCAAATCCTTCCTGCGTTCAATCTGAAATCTCACAAATTTCCATTAACCAAATCCGAGAATTTACGAATGATGATACTGTTGATGTAAGCTAACTTAGTAAAAAAAAGAATTACAAATATACATACCAATTCTTTCAGGAACTGCAATCTGTTCTATCTTTGCTTAATCCAGATTCAGTTGAAATACTTCCGTCACTATTTCTTCTGACAGACTTCGTGTCCAAAGATTTGGTAGAAAAATATGAAGATATGATAACATTCCGACAGAAACTCGGTTCTGTTGATTTCCAGGTAATTTGAATATGACGTGAAATGACGTGAGTCACGTGAAAACATTCAAAGTCTCATTTTCACTAGAACATACGTGATGACCGGTTGTATGAAATGACATGATTGAAGTTCGAATAACCGAATCTGTTACAGGTCATACTCATCAATAGAATTGACAGTATAAACATCTCAAGCTCATTTCCTAAAAAGAATTTGCACACATTAGCATCTTATACGGACCTTTTGAAAAGCAAAAACTTCTTCTGCTCCATAGAATGTGGGTTTTCATCATCATTCATCTGTTTCACTCTTCGAATTCGTTTTTCATTCATCTTCTTCAGATCATTTCCATTTATCACCCATTGAAATTGCCGGAATCGCCGTAGGAGTAGCTGTAACTATACTAATTATAATATTTATAATCTATAAGTTTTGGGATTATGTAAAGCATCTGCAATGGCAGAACAAGGTTATTATTCTTTTCTCGACTTTCATAAATTACGAAAATCTTTTTATAGTTTTTGCGATTAGAGCAGACTTCAAAAAAGGAAAATGATTATCTGGGCCGAAAACGGAAATCGTATGCTTGTTATTACTATACGATTATAATATCCACTATGTTATAGAGGAACTATACTAACTATACAAAGTATAATATGTACATTGGATGATCCATGGGAAATGAGTCGACATCAAATTTCTTTAGGAACAGAAGTTGGTCGAGGCGCGTGTGGAACAGTTTATAGAGGTTTCTTATTAATTTTAAGCTTTTCATCCCACGAACCCTACCACTCCACTTCCCAGCACTCTTCTTCTTTCACCAACTATGACATCATTTCATATTCATTCAGGTTCCTTATTGGGTAGAGCTCCGTGTGAATATATTCATAAAGGAAGCTTCTTTGCCTATCAATTTGAAAATAACACTGTTGCTGTTAAAGTAATGAAACATCAAAGTTGAACGATATGTAAGCTGAGCTATTACATTTTAGGTTCAATCAACAGCTACAGATGATAGATTCCGAAAGCAATTATTGAATGAGATCGAGATAATGAAAGTACGAAGAGAGAGTTAACGACATAGAAAATTCTGATGAATTACAGGCTCTCAATCCCCATCAAAACATAGCTAATATACTTGGTTATGTGTCTGCCTGTAATCCCATCTGTATTGTCATGGAATATGCTGATGGCGGAAGTCTAAAACAGTTTATGATGGGACGCAAGATCGAGCTCTATCTCGTAATCATTTCTAAATCTCATTTTTTTTTCATTTATATGCTGACATCGAGCCATGACGTCATTCTTTATATATATGTGTTTCAGACGGCATCAGATGTTGAAGCGAAAGTCACATGCCGGAAAGATGTTCTGTCATTTTTATGGCAAATATGCGATGGAATGGTAAAACATAATTGAATTAAATAGGAAATTGACGACATTGGGACATATTATGTCTTTTCAGAGTTATATCACCGAGAGTGGTGTTATACATCGAGATTTGGCGGCACGAAACATATTGCTCCAGGGAAAACGAAACGTCCTCATCTCAGACTTTGGTTTAGCAATTTGGAAAGATGATAACAAAAAGAATAACATGGTTCGTATATCTATTCACATATATTACCCATATTCTGTCTTTCCCTCATTTACTCTGAACCTCTTCGCTGCTTACCCCTGCTGCTGCTCATCTTAAACTCTTCATCTTCAAACATATTTAAGTCCAAACGACTTCCTATCAAATGGACAGCCCCTGAAGCACTTGCCCATGAGCAGTTTTCTGAGTCAAGTGATGTATGGTCATTTGGTGTGTGTGCATGGGAAATTTTATCATCTGGAGATGATCCGTACAGTCATATACCTAATACTGAAGTTCTTCCACACATCAAAGCTGATAAACGATTGGAGCGACCTGTGGCATGTGATGACCAACTGTAAGTTGATTCTCTCAATGAAAAGCATGAACAACCGATTGAATTCCAATATCATTTGAATTCGATTAACCAAAGTTTTAATTCGAACAAGCATTTTTTGGTCTTCATTTCATTCAATCCAAGAATTAATATGCTAATTAAAATAGAATTCTTGATTAGGCTTCTGTTTAATCGACTTCCAACCAAACAGATTAAATATTCGTTTCAGTTGGTCTCTTCTACTTGAATGTTGGAAAATGGATGCATCTCAACGTCCAACCTTTCCATCCATTAAACAATCACTTACAGCTCAGCTGGATGAGCTTTGTCAACACTACGGATATCTTGATCTCTCTAAAACTGCTTCTTAAAGTATTTATCATCATATGTATAGATGTGTAGCGGATTGTCCGAATAACAATTGTACAAAAACAAAAAAAAAGAAAGAAAATAAAGGAATTTCGGACCTTGACCTGAGCACATACTTTAATCCCAACAAAGCTGATAAAATGCAGTTGACGAGCATAGAGGGCGAAATGAAAGCTTATCATCTTGTCTTCTACCAGATTGGTTGGCCCCCTTAACCGAAACTTTGTTTCCAATCTGAATCACGAGACATAGTTGTGAAACAGCGAATAAGTACGATAAGATATTGTATTATGAACTACTATACATATATAATCAACTCTTGGATGACTAACGTGAGCCCATACCGATGCGCATTTGCAGTTTCATCTCAAAATGCAGGGGGGTGGAAGCCATGGTGGATGAATACAAAGATGTGTGTAGCCTTCTACACAAACAGCAAAACAGCAAATATTCATTTGGGAAGAGAGAAGCTGTAAACTAGGAATGCTAAAAATGAAACGTTTCTTAGTAATATGATGCATCATCGCTACTGAAGGTCATCACTCTTAAGCTCTATTATTCAATTTTGAATTTCGTTCAAAATTGAACGAACGAGAATTATGATTAGCAACGGCAAAGAAATTGAGAAAATGTAATTTTCAACAACAATTACAAAAAAAGAAACAATTAAGGAGGTTGACATCATAAAAATAAGATTTTTATTTGAAAACTCAAATTTCATTTTCAATTCAGAAACGTCAGTACTTCTCTATTATCACATTGCCTTCTGATAAATGGCATGCAGACCATTTCCGTTTCAAATAAAAAAAAGGCGCGAAAAGTTAAAATAATAATAATAATAATAATAATATCGATGATATGAAAATTGATAATAGGACATCAATTTATCATATTATTTGCATACGTGAATGATTTCACGTGTCACGTGTAACGCCTACGTACGTATGAACTTCATTTTGCATGTTGAATTGCATAACGAACGGTTGACTACCTTTACTTCTTCCCATTTTTCTTTTTTCTTTGCTTTTTCTTTTCCAATAACGGTCAGATGTGGTATTTATCATTTCCCGTAGACAGATTTCTGCTTTCCTTTCTCCATGGCTGTAAACGCCCTCCCACACTCTCTTTTAATCTTTTTCTTTGTTTATCCCTTCGTTTAGTTTCTTTCTCTCTTTTCCTATTTTTTTTCTCTCTTTCTCTCAATTCCCTAACGTCATATCGTCTTCATCACATCATGTTTCATTCTGGTCTTACCCCTTAACTTTCAAATGGCTCTTGCTCCTCCTATAAATGCGCGAAGCTCCGCCTCTCAAAAGCCTTTTTCATAAGTTAAACGACTGAAGATTTTGGCGGACATTGGTCGGCTTTGAAATCGAATACTATCCAGAAGGTCAATTATAACTATCATACATTCATAATTATATCTATATAAACGTCTTATACTATATAAAGATTGCTAATTAATACATATATCTTATTCATTTGTTGAAGACAGTATGAAGTCGTTGCATCTGTTATGCCTGGTGCTTCTTCTATTGCTTGTTGTCTGTCAAGCATTTCCATATTTTTCTGATAATGTAAATGAAGGTTTGTGACGTTGCTATTTCAGAAATATCTTAAAATCATTTTTTTTTCCATTTTCGTCTCTTCACCCTCTCACTCTCATTATCCTTTTGCAAAGCCTATCATTAGTCACGTCTAAGAGATTTCTAAAATCAAACTAATCCACTAATTTCCGCACATCCTTTCAGTCTGCTCCCTCTCTCATTCTCTCTCTCTCTGATCGTCGTCTAAAAATTATACAAGAGTCTTCTTATTTATAATTTGAAGATTTTCTTTTCCATATATCAACCGAAGCGGATAAACTATCAAGTTCAACAGAAATCAGTCGTATAACAACTTTTGCTTCTTTTCAGCCTCTTTCATATGTATAAACGTGGGGGCATGTCCTGACTTAAGATAGGCCTTATGAACTGAAAACGAAAAAGTGGAATGAAGGGTATGAAGCTACTGCTTACCAGCCACAACCTTCATTTCTTTAATGAATTTTAGAAACTGCAAAAAGCCCTTCAAAACTATTCATTAGCAGTTTTTCCGAAAGTTATGACTTCCTTCATATTCGTATTAATCATCATTGCGTTTTGTAATCAACTGGCTATGAGGTCAATGAGAGTAAACCCTTTGAAGCTTTATCTATGCTCAGACATGTCTGGAGAACGAATGAATTCGATGTGAGTGAGAAAGAAGTCGAAGAGCAAAGATAACAACGTGAACAAGCCAAAACTATTCAGAGATAATTCATGATGAAGAGCAGACAGTAAAGAAGGATGAAGTATGATCAGAAAATGAAGAAGAGAGAGAGAGAGAGTGAGACAGTGATAGAGGAGAAGAGAGAGCAGATAATGAAAGCATAACTTCCCCAAAAATATTTTTAAAACTATCGCTTGTGCACTCTTACATATGAAAGGGTTATTACCAAGCGTATACCCACAGTACTTCATTTCACCTCGCATAGTTTTACAAAATATATATTCTTCTCTCATTAAGTAATGGTTGTTTATGCTTCTCACTCTCTTTTTCTTTTTTTCTAATCTGCTCATACACTAAGGCTTAAGAGAGCTATCATCAAATAGCTCCATTTATGTATTTAAATAGTCATTTACATATAACGAAGTTATGGAATATCTTCCTAATGCACCTAGGGCAGCTCACCAACAAACAGCTTTTTGAGCTTTTCACTAGTTCGCTCTTCTTGTTTTCCCGTTCTCTCACACAACTTTCATAATATGCTGAACAGAGATTGCTTTATGGCTAATCATTTAAGCATTACCCTGGGTAATTGACGTCATATTCATCAGCTTCATTATCATGGTAACTTTTGAATGTCACGAAGTAGTTTTGCGTCAACTGACATTTGCATGCTGCTTCTGGTCATCGTGTCTGTCTCAATGGCTACTCTTTGACTCTCTCTCACATTCGCATACTGTCTAATACTCCACTTTACTCTTTATTACTTTTTTTTTCTTTTTTTCACGTTTCACGTCACAAATTCCTATACGTCATATCCCACGTAAAAGCCGTGTAAATGAAGATGATTGTATAGAGTGCATGTGTACAGAGCGGTTGCATTCACCTTGAAAGCATTATGCGCTTCAAATCCCACAGAGTCCATGTTCATTTTTTTTTCATTTTTGACCTCACACCTCTCTCTCTCTCCACAATAAACATATCTCAGTTCCGCAGAACTCCATTAACTTGCCAAACATCAGTTGCTTAGACTTTAACACCACGCACTTCATCAACAGCGCTCATCAGTCTATATATAGTGCCAATTTTCATCCTTCAGATATTTATGTCGCATAGATTGACTAGACTTGACCATAATTGCAATCCATTAGATACTCATTCCACACAAACTCTCATACGTATCACTTGCAGGAGACGATCTCTACCTCTTCCAACGTCGTCGTCGGAACAATTTATTATTCACAAAGCTATATCGTCAGAATTATCCTCGTTACACGCAGAAGAGATTTGTCACCCTTGCCTATCTAACGTGATTTCATTGAACTTGTGTGTCCGTCACTTTGGCAACACACACCCAACCACAGACACTCACTCACTCAGTCTCCCTATGAGATTAACAGGAAAAATTGTATTAATCCCAAAAAAGGTTAAAATAAAGTCTTAATATGAACATTTTATATATTTCTTCGAGAACAACCAAACATAAATCTCTGTCTATATATAACAACACAATGAAACAAACTTAACAACAAATATATCTAAACGAGAGCTATAAAAAGTGAAAAAAAAAGATAAATTGTATGAAATTTGAGCAAATTATAAACGCACTTCAGCCTCTCCGAGAGAAGAATAACAAAAACCTATTTCCAAACAATTATTTCACTGACTAGTTACTTTCACTAAAAATATCATCTTTAACCATGAACGAACGAAAAACATAAAGAAGCTGATATGCCGCACCATATATATTGACAATCCTTTGCCTGTTTTAGTAATAATACTTCTCTGAGTGTTATTTTCAAATTTAGAATCCTTTTGGGATGTCGCAAACTCGTCGTGAGACCTTATGAGCTCTGTCCATCATTGACTCGATCAAATGACTAAAAACAGATTCGTAGTTTTAGCCAAAACTATAACGTTCCCTTAAAGTACCTCAATCCAATCTCTTCTTCCTTCGATCGATGCACAATCTGTTCCACTACCGCCGCTATTTTCGCTCTTATTTGGCTGGGGACGTCATCAGCCTCATCGTTCTGCTCTTCCTTTTCTTCCTTATTAGGCATTTTATATCCTTGCGTCCCATTGTCTGTTGTCTGGCTCTCAAGCGAAGGTGATTTCTCTGCCTCGTCGCATAGATCCTCTCTCGCCGAAAACTGTGACTGATGATCTCCTCTAGATGCCTTGAGCTTTCTCATTTTATCCATAGTGGATTTGATGGTCCGCCCACTGTTTTGGATCTCGAGAGCTGCTGCGTGGACCTGATGCCGGCTTATGCAAAATTGTGTTCGAATAAAATCGTACCTGTTTCAGAAAATAAGGACCTCCGCGATCTATGATCCAGTTATAGATGTATTTCGGGATGTTTGCTTCCGGATTATCAAAGTATATAAGGATATAATCTAAATTTGGACACACGAACATTTGACAATGGACCTGTTGTGAATATACCAGTGCCATGGTTTTCCCAATCCTTGTGAGCTCGTATAGCCATCCGAGATGTGTAGGTTCCAACTCTGACGTTTTTCGAATCCGAAGCGGAAGGATATACCTGCAGCATACAAAAACTTAATTGCATTCATCAAATTGGAACCAACATGTTCAGGCACCACTTCACTTTCTACCACGACTACCTTTTCGTCATCAGAGACCCAGGTTCGACGTACATACACATATTCACGAGGATACAGCGGATACGGATATTTAGCAACCCATTTTATCAACTGAAAAAGCAGAAATGAAATTCAGTTGTTGACTCAATCCGCTAGCCTCATGCTCATCTTGATCCTTGAGCAAATCCAGTGAAATGATATTACTATCCCATTCCTTTCTATAGTCCAAATCATTTTGGGCATCTGTAGTAAGGAGAATAAAAGACGAACAGATGAAAACACAAACCCAAGAACGTCTGGGGACTTATATCGAAATAGGTTCCTGCACACTTGTACTCATACATCTCGTACGGCCCAGGGACATGTCTGAAATGACCAGAGTCATGGTTACGAGAAGAGAGAATCATACCTTCGGAAAGCTCTGAAGTTCTCTTCAATGACCAATGGTTCCCAACCTTCTTCCTTCTCATTCCTCAGATCAAACTCCTTACGTCTCTCCTCAGCAGTATTGATTCGTTCATCGCTGATTCCTGAAATACTCAATTGCAATACAAATTGATTGTGAACAAACCGTGGTCTTTAAACGAAAACCCGGCAGCCGAAGTGAAAGCAAGTAATAAACGGCGATCATAAGCAAAACTCCTGAATTGACTATATACTTGAGGAGAACGTAAATAGGAACCTATTGTTTGATTGCGGATATAATCGAATAACAGATCGGAAATTTGTCCATTTACGTCTATATTGGGGGAAAGCCCGAGCGAAAACCTTCAAAGAAGAATACTCTGCTGTATGATAGTTGAGGGAGTACCTGACGAAAGGTGAAAGCCCAGGGTGATTTGGCAGTAAACATACTTAATTCATAAAATCTATAATGAAGTTAGAATGAGCTGTAACAGGGATGTGTGATAGGTACTGAACGTAGAAGAACGTTTGATTCGATCATGATCGGTTTACAAGAAAGCAGTTAATTTATAAATCACAGTACACAACAGTTGGTTTTATACATATTTTTAGTTTATAAAAGGGATATAAGCGATATGTCAAGGTTTTCAAATTGTGCTCATAGATGGTAGTTGTGATGGTGGGGGGAGTTGGAAGGCAAGAGAAACTAGAATTTGAACACAGACATCTTTCTAAGCGTTTCGAGCTGAAAGAGGATTTGTAAGTAAACTGCATAGACGGTAGAATGAGTTCAGAGAAAACCTTTGGGCAAGGTTGGAATGACCAACATGATTTCCTGCATTAGAGGATCGAGTTTGTCCCTTAGCTTTAAGAGTTGCCCGGTATTAGCCTGAAAGTCAATCCCAGTCAATCTTCGAACATTCGAAATGGTGCTTACATCAGGGACAGCCAGAATGTAAGCGGTAAGTGGATGAGCAGAAAGTACAACTAGTTGGGATTTCTCATAATAGTAGATCGAACTCCTGTGTTTTCCTTCAAAGAGTATGATTGGAGAAAGTGTTGCTTACAACATTACCCATTAATAGTTTGCCTGTTTGGTCAATTGTCCCTTGTTGACTAGCTACTAAAGATTGACGAGACCGTTGTTCTTCACCTTAATTCACCGTCTCAGTAACTTCAGAAACTGGTTGTAAACATTGAGTTTTGATCTTTCGATAAATAGGAACACAAACATATCGAATGGTTTCGTTTGTTAATCAAAAGCAATTGTCTTGAAAGCCCTACCGACGCTGCATATGATTACACCTTCGAAGTCGGTTACGAATATGGTTAAAGCCCCAGGGCAAGATTGTAACGCGTCTTGCAACCCTTTAACAATCTCAGTAGACATGTCGCTGAAGAGTCGATGATGAAGTATTAGGAATGTGGCAGCACACAACTCTTGAAAGTATTTCACTGCTTTCGAAACAGAAAAGAGATAGAACAAGCACAGATATGGGTTTCTCAAAAGGCGGATTCATTGAGTATTTTTCCGATTCATACAAACACACACACATCATTATCAATATCAAGTGATCACAGAAATGGATTTACAATGAAAATGATGCACTACATACAAAAAAAAGTGCCATACAAAGTAACACAGAAAATAATATGCCCGAATGACTAGTAAAAGGCGACAATGCCAGGAGATTGGTCAAAAATGAATATGCAAAAGGAAAGTTCAGTATGAGATCAGCTTTTGTGATTTTCAGCCAAACACTTTGTCAAACTTTAAAAAAGAATTATTTACATAGAAAACGATCAAGCAGGCTCATGTACGAAAAGGTACAATCTTAATAATGTACAAACGAGAAATAACGTTGATCATGTGTCATAGAGGTGATCTTGGAAAATCAATTTTACATAAGGCTTTTCCGTAGCAAGGAGCGTAGTACAGAAGGGACAAACAGGATAAAAACTGTTTGTGCCATGAGGTAGAGGAATGCGAGACCAATATCTAAAAGGATCAAATCGATAAAAGTGTTTACACTGTTAAACATACAGCACTGTGTTTTTGCTGGCCACATGACCACATGGGTTGAAAGCGTGATCTAGAGTTCCTGAATCAAGATGAAAGGAAGACTCCATACCCATTGTCAACTGAAATTCACACATTGATTTCAATTTCAACATAGTATATATATATATTCACCTGAAGGATACGTTCACTCTCCTCCAAACAAATGGGACATTTTGACATTGTCAACCCTCCAGTCTCCTGAACTCCCCATTTGTGTTTACCTTGCACATGACCACATCGTAAGTAAACCTCAAATTATTCAGTTGATTCACATATTGAAAAATCAAAACATACATATGGCTGACGGCTACTAACAGTTGATCCGCTTTTCTTTTTGGGAATTATTAAAGTATTTAAATTAACGGGGCATTGAGGTTTGCCAGCATTCAGGCGATCCAGCGCATTTTCCAACTCCATCAATGTTGGAGACTTCGCAAGTCCATCAGAAGTGCGCCATAATAAAGTAGCACCACAAAGGTCGATCAAGGATCCATCCTTAAACGAACGAAATTAAAACAAGTCGATAATCAACAAAAACCTGTAACATATTCGTCTCTTCAGGAATCAATTCACCACGGGCATTACTACTTCGCGTTTCACGCAAAGCAAAAATGTCACCATCAACAGACACTTCCCTCCAAACATACATATCAGAATTGGAATCATCTAATAAATCCTGAAACGAACGATACTTCAAATACTCATTTAAAACTCGGTTCGAATGTTTGAAACGTGTCGAGCTAATTAGCATAACAACGTAAAGGCTACGCGCGGATCATTTCGTCCCTCTAACATTCAGGAATCGGTTGATACCGCTGCAGCCTCTTTTCTCATTTCTCATTTCTAACTTCTATTTATTTCCAGTTCCAACAAACCTCGGTGTTTCTATTTGGATGTAAAATGAGAACTCCGTTCGTTGTGAGTCCATCTACTTCTCCATTCTTTTTATTCCATTTAGTGGCTTTTTCCTGAAGCAGAGATCTATTACAGAATGGTACGTTGAAACTTACTCCTAGAAATATATTTTTCATAGAATCAAATCCGGCTGCATACAAATAAGATTTCCCAGGATTCTCACGGTCGATCAATATTCGACAAGCATAGCTTAAAAGGTTTCATAATGTAAAGATACTTTGATAATATCACGTACCGACTGATTGTAGATGCCATAGAACGTTTCTCTTTGGGATTAATATTTCCTGAACGTATACGTTAACAAACAGGCAGGGCAAAAGAATAAAACCTTGCAGTGATCCATGAGCATTTGATGCTAACCACGTGTCAACAATAGTGAAATCAATCTGATCTTCGGAAGACCTTCCAATCTAAAAACATCAAGTTTGCATATGGAAACAAGCTTATGCTGTTGATGTATGAAGGATCAAAGATAATACTCAAATTCTCCCTCTCCACGGTAAGTTATTTTCATTCTCCAACACACTATCATGGCTTATGCTAATCAAACTTGTCTTGTACTGAGTTGGAAAAACGCAAATAGCAAAAGGAAACATGTTCCTAAAGCACACAAGCATGCAACCGCTCTCGTAATAGAATCAGTAAACAGAGCTCCTTGATAAGACTGCTTCTTATCATGTTTTTCAGCACGCATAATCATCATTAAATTAAAATCTGACCTGGAACATGTCTTTCGCTGTGTCCGTTAGATATTCGACCAGAACGGTCTGCTTTTTACTATATGTGTACGAGACAACGTGACGTGATCGATCTAATACCGCCTGAAGACACGAATTTACATTTTTCCCATGTGTTGAGGCTTACCGGCGCATCTTTTCCATCAGAATTACTTTGTATTACGCCACCTTTCTTGATTCCATTTCCAAATTTACGACGAGAAAGGACCATTTTTGTTCGATGTCGTTTAACAGGTATAGCGTTCTTATTGTCATACGCACCATTGTAACTGAAGAGAGCAGTTCAGTAAGAAGTTTATGATCACTAACTTACCCAAGTAATATTAATTCACCATATACTCCGTCATCTAATTCAACACGCTTCACTATTTCACAGAAATCAATGTGTGAGTTTTCCAATTCTCGAGAATCAAGTGATATGTTATCACAATCCGGGACACTCATAGTGTCAACGAGTGGAGCGTGTCTAGAGCTCAATAGAGAACTGTAAATGTTCAGGATAAGCACGGATCAGATACAATAACCATGGTTATAGCTAAGAAAGCGCATGGTCAAGAGCTTAAAGGAGGATGTGATGCCGATGAATTCGCACTAGAGCGCGCTTGCATCGCAACTTATGTGAAGTAACAACGAGAGAGTCTAATGAAGAAACGAAGATATTGAGAACGAGGTAATAAGAGGAAGAAAGAGAAATGAATAGTAAGACGGAGAACAAATTTCACAGTTAACTATTTGATGAAAATATATTTTATGGGAAAGTTGCGTGACAAATCGCATTTTGACACAAAAGACGAACATATTTCCGAGAGAATGACAATGGAGTTGAACGTGCTTTTTGAAAACAATCTGTTTTTGTGAAGTAATGAAATGACGGAGAAAATAACTGTTTCATAGTACATGAAAATTAAAAAGGCTTTTCCAGAAGCGACTCATGAAGAAGCACACTTGCGCGACTGCAGCTTTTCAAATAATCAGAAAATTCATATAGTTGAAGAGGAGACATTGCAAGAGAGGGAGAGAGAGAGGGAGGGAGAAGGAGGAAGGACGGAAGCCCAAGCAGTTACAGATGTAAATTCGAGATGGAAACTTAAAGTTCTTCTACTTTCAAATCATTTCGCAAGTTTTCCAACGGCCTGCTTCTACCTGTTGCAAATGTGTTTAAGAGTTGCCACGGTAACAAATGCTTCAGCAGAATTCAGCTTCAGAAGTAATGAAAAAATAACAAAAAGAAATTATGAGATAAAGCGTTTACACGCTATTCATATAAAGAGAGAAAGAGAGAGGGAGAGAGGGAGGATAGAGAGAGAGAGGGAGACGAATCTTGGCAAGTGGTGATATGTGAAGTCACGGAAATTTAAAAAAAAGCTCAAACAAACTGGGATATCATCAATCAGCTTGAACGAGTATTACTTGAAAACCCAAATCAGCGATCACTAGGGATTTAGTAAGAAAAGCCTTGAGCAGTTATAGTTTTTTAGTTGTGTGAAGCTTAGAATATGAAAGAGGAAGGGGATTTCTCTAGACACTCACACATAGACACAGACACACACACACACACCAACACACACACACACACACTTACAACTATACCATTTTCATATTCAAATAAGTAATGTGAATTGGAACAGTTTGAATTATGGCTTGTATCGTCAATTAGAGAAAAGAGATTGACATCGTCACAAATACGAATATTTTCAGAAAGAATTTCAGAAACAAAAAGCAAAATTAGCATTAATTTGTGCGTCGAATTTGAATGATGTTGTCCTTTGATGGCAGAAGACAATACGAAAGTTCATCAGCTGAAAGTTTTCACCGGCGATTCGTCTCTACAGAAGCAATCATAATATTATTATTAATAACAATTGTTTTATTCAAAGAGATAGAGAGAGAGAGAGTGAGAGAGAGAGATACAGAGAGAGACAGAGGGCATGTGAAGATGAGGGGTGTCAACGAATGAGGAAGAAGATGAGATCTCTTTTCGCGGATTCGAAAAAAAAAACTTTTTTTTTCTAGACGTGATCATGCAAGAGCGACAGCAGGAGAGAGAGAGCGTGTGTGTGTGTGTACATGGGTATGTGTGTGTGTGTTGGTTAGCCGGCAAGAGGACAACGAATGCTGTTCGATGATTATTATTATTTTGTTCCAAGATGGTTTTGGAAACGGACAGAACAAAAAGGAGAAGAAAATCTTTTGTGAATGAGGTCGAGATGAAAATCAAAAAAGGAAAGAATATCAGAAGGCAATGCAAGGACGAGCATAACGTCATAGCAGATGGAGGAGAAACAAAGGGCAATGGATTAAAAGGCTTTTTTTTAAACAAAAAATAAAGAACAAAATAACATATTTTTAAGCCGAGAGCAGACAAGTTCATGGAGAGTGAAAAGCTTCTCTCCGATGCTGCGTCTCCGGTTGTTCTTTTCTGCTTTTCTTCGAGACTCAAATGGCCCATAAGGGTGAGAAGAGACAATTCTGGTCGATTGTGGATGTGGTTTGGTTGTAGAGATGTTTGAATACAAAGAATAGCACAGAGAGCATACTAATTAAGGAGATGTTAGAGACACAGAGAAGGACCTAGAGAGAAACAGATGGTCAAACTACAGTCCATATATTTCCCTCGCGTTCAACCAACTACCAGGTGCATAAGGTCATTGACGTTTAGCAGAGAATTTTTATTAAGTAATTGAGAGAGTGGAAGGATAAGAAACAAGTAGGAGTGAGAGTGAGAGATAAATAACAGATAAAAGGGCTCTTAAAAGGAGAAAGTGGCCAACAGTGGGAGGATATAAAAATCAAGAGAGTAAAGCTTAAGACCAACCGCTCTGTGCGTTCACCATTGAATAACTGAGCACTTCTGTCACGTGACAATCTACGTGGAATTTTTTAAATTAAAATTTTTAAAGAAAAAAGTGGAAAAGAAGTTCTCATCTACTTTCACATGTTAGATTACTGGTATGCAACAAAAAAATTTGTGTATTTTATAATCAAACATATGAAAGATGAGAAGCTTAAAATTATATTTTTCAATGTTTTGAAATGAATGTAAGAGTATAGAGAGTTTGAGAGAGGTAGAGAGAGAGAGAGATGGAATATGAGATAGGAAGGAGGTGATGAGAAAGTAAAAACAAAGAAAAAGTCTATTGACGTGACAATTGGAGGTCACAACTGATTGTTGAAAAAGCTTCAAAGAGAAACAAGAGACGGATATCTAGTTGAATGAGTTTTAAGTTTATATTGATGATACGTACATTATCTTGGACTCATTGAGTTTGAGAGAGTCGAACGGATAGTGAGAGAGAAAAACAAAAAGTACTGCCCAAGGGGGTTCAGCTGATGCTTTGGCTAGATTACCATGCGTTCATCCACATAAATATGTTAACACGAAAGGGAAGTAGGAAAGAGAGGGGGGGGGGAATTACTATGTAAACAAATAGGAAACAAGATGATGCATGGCAAACACATAGATTTCTGTTTCTCTCTCAAACTCTCTGTCTGGCTTTCTCTCTGTTGCTTTTTCTCGTAAGGAGAACTTTGTGTCAGAAGCAAAGTGACACATGAATTAAGTTGAAAAGCTCGCTCAACCTACAACTTTCAAAGTCCATTCAAGTCACGTTCATGGTCATATAACCTATTCTACTGCTGTATCGGAATTTGTGAATTTGCTAATAGCATTAGGTCAAACTAAGGGCAGGATATGAGTCTGGAAGAATAAGTGCGAAGAGCATTAAAAAAAGAAAAATGTGAGCATCGTCATTTCGCTCCATGTCACAATGACTCCATTGCTTGTTCTAAGTGAGCCAGCTTGAATTACAGAAAAGCTTAGAACGAAATAAAAATGTGGTTTGAACAGAGAGCACCTTGTTCACAAGGAAGGAAATGTTGAAGAAAAGGAAGAAAATGAGATACAACTGAGTGAACATAACTTACTTGAACTACATGATCTGACAATTTCTTTTTGATTTGTTTCCATTTATAGACCTTCACAGCAATTTTCAAGCAAACGGCGAACGTTTGTTTAATTGTTGTTTACCTTATTGGCGGGAAGGGGGGAGAGGGGGGACAGCTGTATTATTTTTACTTTTAATAATGTAAGAATTCATTCACCAAATTTCTTTTTTTCATTTTCACACAAACCTCTCCTGTCTCTTCCTGTCACTTCCTTGGCCCATACTTTGACCACAATTAATGATTTGGCAGGTTTTATCAACGTATTGTTTTCAAAAATAAAATCGAGAGGAATAAATCAAAAAAAGAGAATTCTGGAAAATAACGACCGCTCTTTGTCGTCAGCAGCCGTGAAAATAAAAAATGGAAAGAAAAATTCATTTTCATTTCTGAAACAGGTAGAGAGTAAGAGAGCGGTTGTGTTGGCAAAGTTACGAATAATAAGCTTCTGACGTCTGACGGCAGATTGATCTTTCTTGAAAGTTCTCTTGAAGAACGGTCGGTCACTGAGTTTGCGCGCAACTTAAGCTTTGATGTGTAAAAAACAGAAGAGACGAATAGATAGAATAGATAAAATGGAGATGAAAAAAATTTTTTTTCTTTTTGTATCTGCCGAAGCTGAAGCCTTATGTGTGGAGAGGAGTAGAGAGAGAGAGAGAGTGAGAGGAAAAGCAAAATAGTTGGAACGGACAAGATCCGGAAACTAGTAATTCGGGTGGGTATGGACCGAAAAAATTGGAAGAAATAGTTATTATCCCTTAACTATACGTATACAATAAAAGGAAATGTAATTAAGTGAGTGATCCTTCTGCAGAAGACGATGAAAGACGCCACGAACGACAAAGACAAGATGCCCCAGCGACTGCAACGAGAACGAAGAAGAACGATCGAAGACAACAAAAAGCCAAATATGGTGAGAGATAATATTGTGCCCATTGGCTTTTGCTATTCATTACGTTTTATTCAAAATAGAGAAATTAATCGATTGAGTAGAAATGTATTTGAAATTTAGGGCAAAGTCTCATTTTACAAGATTGGAGTGGGTGAAGCTTAATGACTTTAAGCAAAGAGTAGAAAGGGGGAAGATAGAGAGGGTGGAAGAGAGAGGAAGTGAACGACAAAGTAAAAAATGCGGAAATGAAGAGGAATAACCTTTTTTGGAAAAAAAAAAGAATCTGTTAGAGCAAGATGTGCAAAACATAGTGGAGAACCGGACAAAGATTGACTCAATCGAGAATATCTCTGGAGCTTCTTCTCATCATCGTTGTTAGAACGTCTGCTTCTGACGCCATTGCTTGTTCTCAATGAAACCCTAGTAAGCCGAGAACAAATATATAAAAGAAAATGAACTTGGTTGGGCATGTAAGAAGACCAAATGAATTGAAAAGAAGCGAAAAGCAGAAGCTCAACACCATCCTGTCAGATTTCTTAAAAGATGCTTTGACAGCAATAGAGAGAGAGAGAGACAGAGAGGGAATTCACACAAAAAACACTAAGAATGATAACATTTAAAGATTTGAAAGATGACTCAACGATTTCCCTTTCATTCTCCTACTCTTTATCACTCTCTCTCTCTCTCTATGTCTCCATCTCTGAATCCTTGTGAGGAAGGTTTGAAGATGAGCTGTAGGGATGAGAGAATTAGGAGACATTTAATCTAATTAGATGAAGTGAAGCAGAAACTCAGCTTAAAGCTCAACAAATTGTTCTATTCAAATGAGATTTTAATCCATATTTCAAAGAAAGATTGAAAGTCTCTGCTTTTGAAATCCCCCCTATGATAGTCCTCAAAGTGCATGAAAGGAATAAGTTCATATGACCGAATAGGGAGTAGGCTACTTCAAATGTTAATAGGAACAATCACTGATTGCGTCTGACGACGACGTTGACGAAGAGGACGACAACGTTCATCGTTAGTGTTCATTCTCTATCGTTCACAATTCCTTTCTCTCCATGTTTCTTTCTCTCTCCCTCTCTCTGTCTATCTAACTGTCAACAGGTTTTTTGGTGACAAAAAAAAGAACATGAAATGCAATGTTTCCTATTAAAAGTTATAAAAACATTTGCTTCCGAAAAGCTCTTCTCATCGTCTAAGCAGACAATCAGAAACTATGAGAGGATAACGAGCTTCGATGAGCAATCTCATTGAAGCTTGAGAGCTTGCTTGGTGAAAGGAGAAGCTGATAAAGTTTAAATAAAAGATTAGCTTGAAGAAGAGAACCTCGTCTGAGAGAAAATGGAAAATATGGATGAAGTGACTACTTGGCTCCAAATGTCCTTCCTCACTTAGAGTACTTAGAGAGAGAGTTTCCCCGTCCTGTTCGGGTTGAATATCAGAAGGCTACTCAGAAATTAATTCTGAGAAGACAGAGAGTCAAGACGCTTGGAACAAAGCGGAAAGATAAGAAAAGTCAATTAATCACCAGTCAGCAACAAAAAAAGGAATTCAATTTGAATTAACTTGATTGGAAGTCGTTTTTTGAATTGTCCTCTCGATTTTTCTCTCTTCGGAGTAATTGAGAAAGGAAGAGCAAAGGGTGAATCTCAAAGAAGGTAGAGGATGTGTTTTCATAAAGTCGGTTGAATCTGAATATTCGGTGACTTCGACCTTTTCTTTCTACGAGCTGTTGTGAAAGAAGTAGAAACGAAGAAAGCCAACTCTCTCTCTCTTCAACATTCGTGATCCTCTATCTCTCTCTCTCTATGTCAGAACATCATGATTATGTTTATAAGGTCTTATTACAATTGACTTACAAGTTCTTCGCCTTTTGTTCCGATCTCTCCTCTCCTCCCCATTTTCAGTGTTCAGCTCTCTCTCTCAGCTCTCAACCTAATTATATCACCAATTTCACTCAGAGGTTCTGTCTTTTGGAAATTTCATTTTGGGCAGGTTTGTTACCATTCGCCTCAAATTCCATCAGTTGCTTCTCTTGTGGAACAAATTCAAACTTTTTCAGTATTTTTCGCACACCAACCCAAAAAATTTGTCAAAAAATAAACTTTTTCCTCAACCAAATCCCTCGTGTGCTTGGCTTGTCTCTCTCTCTATCCCTCTCTCTTCTTATCTCTCTCTCTCTCTTTCTTTCTTTTTGTTTTCTTTTGTTCATTAAAACAATTTTTTCGGCAGTTCTATTTCGGTTTAGTTCCTTAAAATGTAATAAAATGCTTTTCTTTCTTATCTCATTCGCTAATTTTGTTATTAAAGTTAGATGACGTCATCTGTACATGAACTCCACCCACTCAACATCTACGGTCATCCCCACTTGATGCATAATGGAAATCTGATGGAAAAAATCAATTTTAAGCTTCCATATTATAATTTAAAAATAAAACATTTTTATTTAAAGTAGAGTCGATCTTCAGTTCTGGAGCCCATCATCTACTTCCTCTTTCAGCAAACAATGAATATCTCCCCCCCACCCTTTTCCACTTGCCAGACATTTTTATGTTTAAGGAAAAAGCAACCGTTCACTTGCTCACTCAAATATTCAAATGATCTTTTTCCCGCGCGCCCACGTACATGTACGTGAACTCACGTGAATTTGCAAAATTGCTGTTTATGAATAACTTCAACTTCATTTGGTATTCTGAAGCTTTTACTTTACGAACAGATTGTCTTTGTCTTACGTCCAGCTTTTTCATTTCATGTTTTGCTCTTAAGGTCATTGAAATTTTTCTTTTTTCTACCCTCTGACTTCTCATAAGTTTATTTTTCTCCGAGTTTCTGTTAACGTTTCACAGGATTTCAAGTGAAATCCACTTTCTTATGTGAAATTTCAATTAAGCTGCAGTTAAGGCGACAACTTTTCCATAGACTTTTGGAGTTTGAAAGTCATTTCAGCCATTCCATATTAGAAACCGCTGTCAGACAGTAGCATACAAATGAATATTTGAATGTTTTTCTAATAATTTTCCCCTTTTCTTTCATGAATATTCTTTTCATACTTTCGTTTCGTTTCACACATTGAAGATTCCTCTCTCGATCTCTTTGCAGAGTTCTGGTTGATGTAGCTGATCAAGATTGCATAGATTGATGGTTGTTATTCAATTCTACAAAAGATACATTTTCGTTCAGATTTCTTCTTACAGACGGCTTTATATTCTAATTTATTTTCTTATTTGAGTTGTTTAGAGTAGAGAAGTAAAGCCAACACACACACACACACATACACACATGCATACGATGTTGTACACAACAACTAACTCAGATCCGTCTTTACGTTACAATCTCAGTACAATAGAAGAGACGTCGACGGAAGAGAAAGATGAGGAGGTTCGTTCACAGTCAGATCCTATTCTCTTCAAAACACGTTCCCATGATTTCAGGCTATCGATGAGCATGTACGTCACAAGTTCTCAACAATTAGTCAAGCAAGTGGAAGTTATCGACTTCAGAACTCTCCAACTCCATCTGCCTACAAGTTATCTTGGGCGAGTTCGACCAGGTGATAAATTTGATGAAAAATGAATTTTTCTAAAAAAAGAGAATGAAAAGAGAGGTAGATCAAAAGCGGAAGTGAAAGCACCGCAACAAACGGATGCTCTATTTCCGGTTGTAATATAAGATTTGAGTAATGAATATATTAAAGAGAAGCGAACACGACGCTTTCTTGTTTAAAAATATAAAATGAGACTGACTGATCTGTTCTTCTCTCAGGAAAGAATCCACACAATCCAACTCATCAAGTATCAGCAGTGGCTTTTCCTACTCAAAGCCGATCGTTGATTGTCGGAGGTATGCCAATAAGCAGAACGTGAGATGAGTAGAGAGATGGAGCAAGCATATAAATATTATTTTTTTCTCCATTTCTCTCTCGTCTTATTAAATATATTTTTTTAATATAACTCAATGTGTTTGTTATAGGGAATCACTTCTATCGAAGGCTGATTTAACCCGTCGACGTCTATCATTTCGAACAACAGCCTTGGCCTTAGCCAGATTCCGTCGTCGGATAGTTGTTTTCGACAAAGCTGTAAGTTCCCTAACTATTTGAATAATTTAAAAGAATTATATAATGAAAGATTATTTCTGTGACTTGAGGGCATTTCTCAAATTCTTTTTGTCCTTTTTTTTTAAAAATGAAAGCAGCAAGTCACCTGTTGTTCGGGATGAAACCAAATCGCACAAGCTCTGTCTGTTTATGCTAATTATCCGTTCTAATTACGCTTCACGAACTTAATTATGTGTATATATATATATATATACATATAGTTTACCCTGGCGAGATATATCAGGGTCTCCCATCTACTATTACTGCTAAGAGGCAGCCCAAATGCGGATGAAGTCATTTTTTGTGTCAAAATTAATCGCTTTTCCTTTGTGGCTGGGGGGTTTTGTCATCGTTTGCCTTCCGTCATTCTTCTTCATGAAAAGGAATGGCAAAAAAAACAAGAAAAACCTAAATAATAATTCTATAACAGAATGCTATTGTCTGAAGAAGAAGCTTAAATATGGCTTCAACAACTTACCCTCAGGCTTTTTTTTCTGTGAAACGGAGATTTTTTGTTTTCATTTGCCTTTTATTCGGCGATTGATTGGAAAACGAAATTCTTTCTTTCTTTTTTTGCTTCTTTTCGTTTCTTTCGCTCTCTACTCGTTTGCTCGTCGTGCTACTCGCTCTTCAGATGATCATATTTGACATCTGAAGGTTCCAAAGTTTAAACTATTCACATGAAAATAATATGATTTGGTTTGAATGGAAGATGTTCTTCCGACGATGATAACGCACAAAAGACAACTTCGATTGTAGCGAAGCTGTTGGAACGTGAAAATTCTGTTTCTTTTACTTATTTTGTCTCTTTCTTGTCTTCTCTCAAATACTTTTGTCTTTTTCAATTTTTAATTTGAATTCATTCGACATTCATGCTCATCTCCTTCAATTGCAAGTACTTCATCGATGGATTTATTTAGAATATTCTTTTGGGATACGAGGTTGTGTGTGTGTGTGTGTGTGTGAAGAAGAGAGAAGAAGAAGGACTACCAAGAATGAGAATAGGTTGTTGTAAGGGAGAAGCTTGAAGAAGAGAGTTTCGAATGGAACAAGAAGATGTGTGATGAGTGTCAGGAAAACAGGAGAAGAAGACAAAAAGAGAGAATGCTTAGTTGGAAGAGGAGAAAAAGGAAGGTACGAAACTTCACCCCTCTTCTTCTCTTCCTAACTCTTCAATGTCATACATGGTTGCTGTTTCATCTTCGTCTTGGAACGTCAATCTATGCCAATGTGTATTGGAACGGGCGGATTATACTTTTTGCCGTATTGTTTCTTCATCTCTATGTACATCTCTGCATACATATTTTTCTTTTCTTCTCTCTTGATATATCAAGAGCTTCCCATGATTGCAACGTAATACTTCATGAATTTTCAATTATTATTATAACACATAAGACCATATCTCTCTCGTTTTTTGAGCTTTTGCCATCAGCTTATTCCATTATTTCAAGAGAAAAATAATTTTTTATTGGTTTGCAAATGGCTGACTCGGATATTTGGCATTCAATTGCCAGAAGTAGCGAATATCCTAAGCTTTTGGTGAAATCGTCTGCGATTCCGTCCCAATCATCACATTTCATTCCCACTATTCCTGAGAAGTCACGAGAAATGAGCCCGAATTCACAAAATGAAAAGGTTGTTCACATAAACTTTTTTTTTCAAAATCATAACCATATGATATCATCAGCTTAGATTAATATCGTCATTTAGGATATGTGCTTATGCGGCTTACTCAATCTATCATTGTCCGTTCATTTGATTTGTTGCATTGAGGTATGTTGGCGCCGAAAGTTGTTTTTGAATCGCTATGCTAATTGCTATTCAATTTTTCAAAACATTTCATTTTGATTGTTTGGACTGAAGAGAACGGTTGCATTCCAATTATAATTCATTTTTTTCATATTTTTCTATTCTTTCTAATTTTCATGTTTGAAGGTATTTTTCTCAATGGTTCTGCTTATTCAATCGCCTGATCTTATAACTATGGATGGGACGTATTTCTATTTTCTGGGAATGTTGGAAGGGTGTGGAGAATACTTCTTTGCTTTACACTTTCTAAGTAATAATTTTCTTTTAAATTCATTTAATTCGTCATTTGAACTGCGAAAATGAGATCAAGAGAGAAAAATATTTTTTATTTTAAGTGAGCGTTTCGTGCGTATTAACGGCTTTATTGCTTTACGTTGGCAGTCGATCTCGACGGCCTGCTTATGTGCTACCTCATTATTTATGGCAAATATCATTTATAGTAATGACAATCATCTTGTCGACTGGTAGCTTTAAGGGTGGTATTACTTCTAACATGTTCGTTTTAAGTTTTGTTGAATCTGGGTTTAAGTGGAAAGATGTTGTTGCCATCTAGCATTGTTTTGAGCTGTATGCTATTAGTACCAGGTGAGATCATACACCTTCGTTCTCTTCAGCTTAATTGCAAAACTGTTGAAATGAAATGTATTGGTTTAGGGATAGCTGAAATCTGGTGGAGTTATTTAACACTGTGTTACTATCGCCAACTTTTATCCAAATCCAGCGTGTATAAACGACCTAAAGCACCGATTGTAGCTCCATTTAAGGCTACTGAATGCTGATGATCTCTTTCAATCTTCTCTTCGCTCTAACTAGGCAGTAATTAATGATAATTGGAACAATTGTACGTGTATTCATTTAAATGAATAAAAAGTAAAATCTTTCCTTCTTGTCAAAGCAGCTGACTATTATACCTCAATTGGACATCCATCTCCATTTCCATCTCCTACTCCTTTTCTTTTTTTCCATTTAAACTTAATTGAATGACGATAGAATGTTCTCCCTACCCATCTTCACCCTTATAAGAAAAGTTTTGTTTGTCATCGGTGGAAAACTTTGCCTTAAAAACTTTGTATCATACGATTTCACAAATAATTAGCCTCTTGTTCATCTCGCTTTGTGTGTGTGTGCGTGCGTGTGTGTCTGCGTCATTTTCTTTTTTTTGGCTCTGCGTACTAACTTTTGCCGTATAGCATAATGATTTGCCTGGAGCACTTTCTGAAGAATAGCAATGTATGAGTTCAAACATACAGAGAGACAGAGAGGTTAGACAGGAGAAAAAGAAAAAAGAGACAAAAAGATAAGAAGACTAAAGCCAGAAATCTTGTCTGACTGATGATCAACTTGTTAAAAGAACAGCTGCTAATGGAGGTTAATCATGTTTTTGTTTTAAAGTTTACTTTTATCTCTCACTCTTCCCCATCCAATATTTCAATGCAATTTTTTCTTGTTAACAAATTTTGAAGTTGTGAGGAAGTTGATAGATAAATTCATTCTTCAAATCTGCTCATCACACGTTGTTGCTTCGATTCAGCTTGATCTTTACGTTTGACCTGACCCTTTGCACTTGTTCTTCCTTCCTCTTTCTTTTCTTTTCTGAAAAGCGAAACAAAAAAAAGGCTGAAAGAACGTTCGAAGCTCTAGCTACAGCATGATTTCGAGCTGGTTATCAGGTATCACTCCCTTTTCTTTGAAAATTGTTTAAACGCTAATTACAATATAGTTGCTCTATCACACTTTCGCGCCAAAATGCTATTTTTGAATTATCACTCGTTTGTCCTGTCACGTCAGCTTAAATATGTGATTCATTTTGGAATTGATGACAGTGATGAACGGTTGTGTCTACGAATTCTCCTCCATTCCCTATCTCGTACAGCTTATAACATAGATTCATTACAGCAACCAAAATTCTTCTCAATTTGACCCAATATCGAGAAACGTTATATATTATATTCGGTATTGTATGTTTAGCAGCTTGGCTCATTTTCAACATATACGCCCTCAGGTAAGGATTTTTTCCTCTATTCTTCAGATTTTTCTGCATTCATACGTCTTCAGAGAGATGTTATGTCCGTTCTTTTATGAAATTCCGGATGTTGAAAGTGGCGAAATGAATTTTGCACCTTTGAATAAAAACAAGTTGGCTAATATAATTAAAATTAATTAATGAGTTTAACTTGAAGAGACAACTTCACGCCGATCGATGTAGCTGGCTTATATAAGGATTGTAAATATACAAGGAATGACTTTCTAGTCTGAAGTAGCCTGAAGCCTTGAATGAAGTAAGTGATCTCGAAACTACTGTGATTGTACGAATCATATTGTAATGTGTGGATGTTTTATTTTTTTAAATGAAATATTTACAATTATCACAATGAGTCCCTGAGGTGAGAATACCGTTTGCTGTTGTTCAAACATTGCGAGAGGTAACTAGTGATTAGGATTAGTAGTTTGGCAAATTTCAAGCGCTGTTCGAAGCGAATTGATCATAACATGGAATGGGAGAGTAAGCTGCGGGGTATGGATCTGGCGGGATGCATGTTAGGTACGACTCTGTAACTCAACTCTTTAAAGTATTTTTCTCTTCGCATCTCTATTACCTAAGCTCATTTGAGCGTTTATTTGGGCTTGCAACATCATTTCTGGCTGTTGCCATTTCTGGTAACTTGTCACATGAGGAGGGGCTGAAAATAGACTTCTATTATTTCTCTTTCGAGTACTTAAGTTCCTTACAAGGGTTCTGAGCGTTTGGTTTGTTACGTAGTATTCTACTAATGCTGCTTACTGATGGAACATTGGCTCGATCGCATATGCCATCAGTAACTAGTCGATCGCGTATTTCCCAAGCGAATAACCCGGGATCCGAGCATTTCAGATATCGAATATGTTCAACTACCTAAAAATATATTTTTATTTGAACAAGAGTTAAGGAGAAAAAACCTTCGGTGTCGTTACTCGCGGCTTACTACCACCGATCGCTCCAGGAAGTATCGTTCCACTTTCCGAAAAACTAAACAAAGCAATACAATAGAGAATTAAGAATGCTGACAAACACACGGAAAAACAGTCAGGCGCAAAGGAAGTGAGGAAAAAAACTAACCGATTCAGAATCTTACTAACACATCCATGACTGATTTTGAGCCGCCGAGATATATCACATGGACGAACACCATTCTGAAAATGAGGTAATTAGTATAAGATAGTGTTTCATATAAAACCTGGGCCATTTCTACAATACATCGTCTCATATGGTTAGGTAAGGGCCTTCCATTTACAAACCATCCACCCAGTTGATTCTGTTCGCCTAGTGAACTCGCGGAAGATGTGGAAGCTGAAATTATAATCCTTATCATTGACTGGTTTGTTCTTGCTTACCTGTAGGAGAGGAACCATTGGATGGTGAAATTGAATTCCAATTAGATGTCGAAGTTTGGCAACCTGGCCAGTAGTTCATGGCTCGCTTGAGTGCTTCTCGATCGCCGGATCAACCAGCCACTTCCTCGTCTGACCCCACCCATATTGCTCCGCCTACAGATGACCTGTAGCTGTCTGGTAAGGGTACTGTACTGTGGAGAAATACAGGTAAAAGACAGTTTTCCCTTTTCATTGAAATTTGTTTCCAATTTTCATCAAATCACTGAAACTTCAACCCTCTACAGTCCTCTAAGGTGCACCATATACTTCAGCATGTCGGTCGTTCAGAAGGTTTTGAAATGTTCAATCGAATTTGACACTTCATTTTAAAAACTCTCATTTATGCCCAATCTTTAACATCTTTGATGTAATTGAGTTGCTATGACCACGTTCAGCGGAACAGTGACCGCCTGATCCAGTCTTTCCAGGAATTTATGTTGCAGAGTTGAACGGCTGCTCTGTAGAAGGCTGGCTTCTCATCTAACTGTTCAGCAATCGGGAAGTAAAGTAGGATTCGAAGAAAGATATGCAGAAGAAGCCTGAGAACATATTTATTACCGCATTGATAAACAAATATGGATATAGAAACAGAAAGGATTAATCCTATGTAATCGAAATGAGATGTATCTATATCCTTCCGGGTCAAAGCTGCATACATAGACATAGATAGAACGAAATCAGTTACACATCATCTTTGTGTTTGACATTTCAGGGGAACAAACTGTCTTTTATATTTGTAATGTTCGATTAAGGGAAGACCCCAAAATGTCATATTTGTGCGAACGATTAAGCAATTGGTCAAAGCGTAAGGTCTGCTGCTGGTCAATATTGAGGTTACTGTAGCTTAAAGATGGGAAAGTCATCTTTCTATTATAAGAGACTTTCATATAGTTAACCTTAGTTTAATAATGATGATAATGGGAGATGTTAGCCGAATGATTCTGCGGTCATTGCAACCAAATGAAGCGTCATGCTTATTCAAGCTTTAAGCTCACAAAACTCGAGTAAACTTTCAAGCATCATTGGTCTGCCAACGATCAGATCGAGTTTCATTGAACCTGTCTCTCTTCAATGTTTATACTGTATTAGAGTTTTGAAGAAAGTATTCAAATCAAAGTTTTTTAGTTCTCCACTAACACTTGTCAGCTTGTTTCCCACCTAATGAACTGTTTGTCAATTGGCATATTATTTATTTAGGCGGTTCGCTAGAATACAGTGGCTTGACGAAAGTACCGAAAAAACAAGAGTTGTTAATCGCTCTGTTAACCTATTGGGGCCATATGGAGTTAATCCTCCTAAGGAAGAAAGGAAAGATACATGAGAGACAAATGCCAATACAGCTTTCACCGGAAACTAGGCGGAAACATCAAATGGATGCAATTGTTTTCAAATGTGATTAGCATCGTGTTACCAGCCGTTCCAACACTGAATTTATCTTCTTTAAAGGTTCAGAAGGAAACAGAAGACGATGTATGAGTCGGCGCTTCCTTCAAAAGCCAACAAAGTTAGATTGGATTACTATGTTATCTGCATTTTTTATTAATCATATAGTTAAGTTCTGTGATGCACTGCCTGTGTGAACAAGAACGATCACTCTGATTAGATTATGCACCTACTGAAGGCATACTTATCTCTTAGTGTCTTAGAAATTTCCAAAATTAAACCCCGTGACCACTTGCATAGACTTTGCAACCTCATAGAACATCCAATTTCATATTTGCACTCTGCGTAATTAGAATACGTCTTAGCGTAGTCAATGCACGTGATTTACGTGGCGATGCACGTAACTTAATCGAAAATAAAAAATATCATTTACCGAGCTGTGATTAGAGGGGACGGTTGTACTCGCTTAACTCTATACTAGGTGAGCAGTGCAAGGTCATAAACCAAAGTTTATTTCATTATTTTATAAGATTAAGAGGGGAAAGGGATCAGGGTATGGCACTTGATAAATGTCATCAGTTGGATATAGATAATTGTAAGATTTTTAACAAGTACTATGAGATACATACGCGTACTTTATTGATTTTTCTGTTGCCTGAATATGCGCACTGCCATCCGTGGAAAGCATCAAAAATGTTTGATCGTTTGAAAAACTTTTGAAGTTTCCAAATTGAATAGCTCCTCGTTATCAATCTCGCCTTACTAAAACAGAATTTTATCAATTAGACTCATTGTCTTTGGGATCAAACGGTTTGATTAGCCGAGTTTTTTTCGCGGGGTAGAAGCTGTATTGATTCGGATTTCATTGTTAGCTCAAAAAGCCGACAAAAAGCTCAGCTATGCTACTCACTGTGAACTTCAGAAGCATAATAGGCGCTAACTATTTCATTATTTAAAATTTTTTGCTTATTTGCTCTTAGTCAGTTTCGCTTGAGATTTCTGATCGATTTTTCGTGAAAGCTACGCACAGCTGTCTTGTTGATGATGACACACATTACTTGAACTCAATCCATTTTATAACTTTGCCTTCATTTCAGACGTTTGATGATATATTTTAAGTAGCAGTTATTGATGAAACCATGGTTAGTAATATCACCGTTTTGCTCACAATTTTTATCTTTTGAAGGAAACAAATTCACTTATCGGTATAAACAAAACAGAAAATTCCACTAAAGAGAGCGAGAATGATGAAGACACACTATCCACAAGTGAGTATCAGACTCCTTGGATCTCCATCTACATTGCTGGGATATGTGCTTTCATACAAGCTGTTCAATTTTCAATATATGCTAGTTCAATGTGGCCATATCTCCGGAAGGTTGTTTTCATCTGATATCCGAAGTAAATTCATGTTTCTAGTTAGATCCCCTCATATCAGAATCTTCCTATGGAACCATTCTAACAGCTTACAGTATTGCCCAATGTGTTGGAGCTCCGACTTTTGGAGTATGGAGTAATAAGATCAAACAAGTAAACTATTATCTCTCCAACAGTTCAATTCCTTCTTTCACAAACTTCAGATTCGTCTTCCTTTGTTCGTAGGATTCACTAGTATGACATTAGGAAACGCTATTTATCTATTATTAGAGCGTGTACCTATTTCCTGGATTATATTTGTAATGATGGCTACTCGTTTTACTGTCGGAGCTGGCTCAGGTATCATCTCAGAATTACCATTTACTCTGAAGTTTCTTATGTAGGCAATATAACATTACTAAGAGCATATGTAAGTACTGTTTCGACTAAGGACGATCGCATGAGAGCTGTCTCTTGTGTCAGCGGGGGTATCGCTGTCGGAAGCATGATCGGACCAGGTACACCATATCCTCTCATTCACATAACCGCACTCATGCAATTCAGCGCTTCAACTGCTCTTCACACCATTAGGAGAAAATGGTTTTTCAGTTTTTGGATTTTTTCAATTCAATGTTTATACGGGTCCTGCGATCCTCTCGTTGATACTCAATTTAGCAGGAATTTTTTTGGTCAAGTTTTGTTTCAATGAAACTATTTTACCATTCGATTGCGAGGACGGATCAGTAAGTTATGAGCTTCAATTTCTGGCCATAACGTTACCACCTTAAGAAACCTGGCAGTCGCGTCCGTGCAGATGTTTTAGCTTTATTCATCATCATCGCCACCAGATTTTCTCAAATCTTCTTACACAGCACTACTGATATGTATGTTTGGATGGACTTATTTTAAAGCCCGGAATAATCAGGATAAACTCTCCGTTTACGATGATGATGTTTGAATTCACAAAAGAGGAAGCTGTCAAGTACAATGCACTTGTTTATGCAGTTGCGGGTTCTTTAGGTGCTCTCATGTACGTCTTCTTCATTGTCTTCAATGTTGGCAAACGGTAATTTCATCTTTGATATTGTTGATAACTGTCTCTCGTTTTCAGACTTAACAGTCGGGCTTGTTGTATACTAGCTCAAATCACTTTTGTTATTATGTTTATTGCGACTTACCAATGGCCATTCCTATCTAAGAAAGTTGGGTTACGAGTAGACGGTATGTATTCCAACTGGAAACAGTGATATTTTTGTTTTACAGGGTCAGATTACGGGTGTGACAGTGATCGTTTTACATGGTGCGAAAACTTGACAGTCAATTCTATATGGGTTGGTCTATCAACTATCAACCAAGTTCATTAATTATCTTCAGCTCTATTATGCCTTTTATATATTTGTCTTTGGTATCTCATATGCTTTGCTCAATGCAACACTGAATACTCTCTATTCGCACATAATCGGCCCTCAACGACAGGTAATATTTTTCCAATCGTCGCCTTGACTCTGTTATTTCAGGGAACTTTGCAAGGGATTTTCCAGGTTGCTGGTAGCATTGCGCGTATCATTGCTCCTCTCAATACCAGGTTACTCTCTCATACTAGCCCATAAACATATTGTTTCTAGCTATTTATATACGAAGAGTGGACCCAGAATCGTTTGGGGAGTAGAAGCAGTGGAAGCGGCTGCTGTTTTATCATTATGGTTCATATTTTTCCGAAGACTCATCCCATATGAAGAATCTCAAAAAAAGAAAACAAAACCCACAGAAGTATAAAACATCTAATAACAGAAACATATCTTAATAAATATACCATTTTTAAATATCATCTTATCCTCTTTATTCAATTTGAACTTGATACTCACTCTTCTCTATCCCTTCAGCCAATAATTCTCAAAAAAAAGAAGAAAACAAAAGAATGCAACCGTTCTGTGTTTCCCATACCCATAACAATGCTCACAAAAAAACCAAAATCATTCAGAGCCGAATATACACTCTTTTAAATTGAAATTGTGTTCAGGTTCATCCAGTATAGGATCCGCCTGGTGCTATCACCGAGCAATAAATGGCGGGAAAACAACGCAAATTATTCATTTTGTGTTTTGCTTTTGTTAAGCGCGCAACTAGCAAATTACTCATTTGTATGTGTGGTAGTGCTTGTGGTTGATGGTAAGTCTCCCTGTTTTCTTATAAGACTAGTGCTCTAGAGTACCGCTGCCTGTATTCAGTTGTCCTCTGTAACTTCTGGTGTAATCGTCACTGAGGTACATGTCTTACACGATGACGACACCTGTCAATGAATTATAGGAATCTGCTTTCTCGGCGTATTCTGGGTACAACTTACTGCAAGAGGAGGTATATCTTTCAGTATTCTGATCTATCATCATCTTAGTAAACCCTCACTGCTCATTCATATCGAAGTAGAAGTTTTTAATGACAGCGACGACGAGAGATAGTCAACAAGTTGTTTTTGAATTTTCGTTCAGCCTGTATGGTAGCTGTGGTTACCCAATTCGTATGGAAGGATGAATCCAATTTTTTTTGTCAAAAGTTAGATTGAATGAGCGAACACAATTCACAGTTCCGAATCTCTTGGCTTCTCAGTTGATGTTCACCACAATAAAAATCTCGAACAGCGTGTGTGTTCTCGATGGATATATATTCTATCGTTATGTATTTCTTATCCTCTTTAGGATTCTTCATCATATTCTTCTCACTGTACTTGCTCATAACTGTCTCCACGAAGCTCTCCCCATTCTCTCGTTTCGTCATACATGGACATGACGTGACGTGAGTAAAACCGCTAGGATCTCATAAGTGAGTGTTTCAGAACTGGATTTGCTCAAGTCTATATGACTATTGGTCTGCAGTCCTGCATTATCTTACCTTGTACAAGTGTATACAACGCGGGAATTCTAAGTCGTTTCGAAATCATCAGTACTATGAACCAACTTTGGATCGTGATTGTTCTGTTCTCCAGTAACCAGCAATGACGGAGACTCGAAGATGGAATAAACTTACTTTCAGGTAGCCTAATGTTCGCTTTGCTTCTGTTTGTTCATCGTATGTTCGCTGTTTCTATGGGGTTGTCGGAAAGAACAAAGGACATAATTTTGAAAAGCTTCTTTCTTCAATGGTTCCTGCAGATCATAGGTATAGCTATCTTTGGTCTCAATATGAATGATTCTGGCGAAAGAGGTCGAACTGCATGTATAGAGGTGATGGATGCTCCGTTTCATTGAAATCAGTTCGTTTTTTAGATGATTGAGGAATATCCCATAGAGATGGATACCTTGCATGGAGTCAACTTTATACCCACCGATAGCATAAAGTTGAAAATCATTCTAGTTTATGCTTCCTTAAATTTTGTCTACTACTTCTTTGTCGCGAGTTTCTGTGGAGTAGTCTTATACATCAGCATCAGGGAACAAGGGAAGTCGACACAGTCGACTCAGTTCTTGGCCAACCAACGTAGAATTACTCTCGGCATCATTTACTTTGTAAGAGGGAAGCTACAGAGTGAAGCTGAAGGTCCTATTCAGGGAGCTGTCGAGTTAGTCGGAGTGGGTGTTCCTATTGTAATACTTGGCTTGTGTTTCCTTTTGAATATCGGCAACTACGGTAGGCTCATTATAAGCACATTTTTCATTCCTCGTTTTCAGTCGTCTCTCATTTCGCAATTATTTTACTTTGCTTATATCCAATTGCTGGTCCTTACTATGTGTTGATGTCCAACCTCGACTACAGCAAGAGAGTGAAAGAGATAATGAACAACGTCCGCTCTAACCTCTGTTCCTCCCGTTCCAGTTGTCCATCAGTCGTACAAAAATTTAGAGAATTTATTTTCAGATCACAAGGTTACTTCAGTTACTAGTGCTATGACTTTATAGGGCTGATTACCCTGGTACGAAATCCCTAAGGTCTCATAAATGTACTTTCTTCAGTAATGATGCAATCGCTCTGGACTTGTGAGGGATGGAATACAATCCTTCTGGACGGTTCTTCATGAAATGCAACAGCTCTGAGCTGTTTTTCATGAAATGCAACTTTTGGTGCGGTTCAGATAAGACCCGGGCTTGTCCAGGTCTTATCCTTGACTTGCGAGTCGATGAGCTTTTTCCTCTTTCCTGGAGAACCTCCAAAAAGAGAGAGAGAGAAGTGAAGCTCACCAGCTCACACCGCCAACGAAAGTGATTCAGGAACTCCACCGCTTATATACCCCCGCGGAAATGCGTCACGTGGAAATAATTTTTATGTGAAAAAAAATGACCCGGTCGTTCTTTCTTGAAAGCGATGTAATTTTACTCAAAGCTGATGAAGTCGGATGTATTTTGGGTTGTTTTGGATCAGAATTTGATTTTACACTTGAATATGATGTTTATTTCTTGTTTTGATGATAAAGTTTCGTCGGAAAATGGTTCACTTCACTCCCAAATCTTGTTGGAAACTCAGTTCATATCTGATTCTATGGTTTAGTTCAGTTACTCAATCTGAGTAATTCAGTTTGAACTATTCAAATTGAATGAATAGTTGAGATCTAATTGTTTTCGCTTGTTCTTCAATGGTTATCTATTCTGAACGGTTAGAAATCAGTGTTGCTGTCAGAGATCTGTGACTGTACATCCTTTACAGTCTTTTCATTGTACTTTATGAGTATGAGTTTCTTACGAAATAGTATTCATAATCACTTCCCGTTAACCATCAGTACCTGACAACAGCTCTGAGTTATTGTTTTCGTTTATAATTATGTTCTTCCTGTTGTTCCATCATCGCTGTTAGTGGTTTTTTATTTCTCATACATTTATGCTTCAGGACTGTTCATTTGCGATTTTGTCAACTCAGAAGGCTACAGTCACACACCCTTGCTCTATTTCTCTCACGTTGTGATCAGGAAGAGCACGAAAAGCTACTGTT